TTTTCATATTTTGCATGCAGCAGAAGTTGTATTTTCGTTTCTTGGCAAACGTTTTTGCTGCCTTTAATGAAGATCTTGTTTTTTTTTTCTGGGTAATCAAATATTGAGGTATTAAGTAGTGATTGCAAATCTCTCGCTTTTTTGCTGCATGTGCGACTTCAGTTTTTTTCGAAATGGACTGAAATTTAACCACCATATTTTTGGGGGTGTTTTTGCAGGCAACACCCGGAAATTGGATGACTCTGAGACTGGAGACAATATCATCATCCTGAAGTTCAATTTGTGGGGTCTCTCCAATTTTTTTAACAATATCTTCAACGTTTTCACCCTTTATCTCAGTAACCACCACATACTTCCAAGTTAATATTTCTATCCTGTTGCTTCATCCACTCCAGTTCTGATCTCAAAGAGCTACATTCAGCTTTAACTGATACAAGTTCCTCTTTTAAGTTATTAATCTCCTAAGGTATTTTTTAACTGTTTCCATCTGGGCAGTAAAGTCATCAATTTTCCCCCCAAAAAATTACAAGGAATCTTTAAAGAGACCTTGCTCAACTTTTAATTCGCTCGTAGTTGACATGAGTGAATTAACCTTTACAATTACTTCTTGAAAGTACTTGGAGACATCAGGTTCCGTTCCGATACAATGTTTACATTTCCACACGCATCCAGGATCGCGATCCAGCTCCGCAATCGCGTTGGGCAATTTAATATATTTTAAGTGAAAATCGTTTGTACAACCTTCGCATCGAATACCTCTGGGCTATTTCAAATTTTGTAGGTGCTCAAAATAGTTTTATGCGGGAGTCCGCCAATAAAGTGTGTATCACCTGGCACTTCAACCCCCCTTCGGCTCCACATTTTGTCGGGTTGTAGGAAGCGGGGGTGAAAGCGGTTAAAAGTCACCTTTACAGGGTCTTTTGTGGTCACATATTAACATATGAAGAGTTGAACACTGTTTTTATCCAAATTGAAGTCATTTTGAATTCTCGTCCACTTACCGTTTTTGGTACCGATCCCTACGACCTTTCAGCCCTCACGCCGGGTTATTTTCTTACATTGAAACCTGTGATGGCACCCCTGAAAACGATTACACTTCGACTTCTGGTAGTCACTTAGATCGTTGACAACTACTCCAGCGAATGCTTCAAGATTTCTGGGCCCGGTGGTCCAAAGAATTTTGATATACGTATCATCAGCGTAGCAAATAGTATAAAGACCCTTCTTCTGTTGTAATTGGTACGCAAAGATGATCTCGACCCGCCAATGCAATGGAAGACGGTATAGTTAGAGTGGCTCTTGTAAAGACTTCAAATAGCCCGGTTATTAAACTGTCCGCTACCAACAAATAACACATTAAAAAAATTCGTTGTATTTTGGTAGGCGGAATGGTACGTTTGCATGTTCTTTTAATAGTTAATTAATTTAATTTAGTCATTTTTCTAATGTTCGTTGCCCTTATATTAAAAGGGAAAAAGAATTTACTACCACCGCAATGTATGTTGACACTTTCTTAGTATTTTAATTTCCCGGTACGTTTTAAGGCCTATACGCAAGTGCAAAGTGCAAGTAGTGGTTTTTTGGATTCGAAATGTATCGATCGATCGGTACTCGGTAGAACGTTGCAGAAAAACCAACACGTATTAATTTGTCGCTCGTGATGTTCTCCCTTCCCTGTTGCGGTCGTTCCGATAGACTAACAATTAACAATTATCTGTTAGTGACAATTTAGAGTGTTCCAATCGCCTCAGCCGGCCGGCTCCTCGCATAATCCGGGACTCCCAGGTCGGTCAAACACACACTAAAGTAATAAGGCCTCAATTCGTAGTTTTCCTATAAATTATACAGTCTATTTTCTCGCCAATCTAGTCATTGTTGAGTTCGTCAATTAAATGTTCTATATCTATGTCTAATGGTTTTTGGCATATTTAAGTTTTTATTTTAATTATGTCATTTGCAGGCCCTAGGACTAATACCAATTTTTCCTAAAAGGAAATCTTTATTTTTTAATTTGGGTTTAATACGTTGTTGGCAAGAACATACTTTAACACAATGTTTATAATATGTTGTTAACTAATAATGCATGCAGGGTGTTCAAAAAGTAAGATTAAATACTAATTTAAGAAAACTGTCAAAAATCTTTTTTTAAATGGACCGACCTCTCCAATTTCATAATTTTATCTTATTTACCATTAAAAATAATATGTAATTTATTAAAATAATAATATTTTGTTGACTAATAATGCAGGGTGTTCAAAAAGTAAGATTAGGTAATAATTTAAGAAAACTATCAAAATCTTTTTTTTTTAATGGACCGACCCCTGCAATTTTATAATTTTATCTTATTTATCATTAAAAATAAAGGTAAGTTTGTATAAGGTAAGGTTGTATATGCTGAACATGTTTAGTTTTCGAAAGATTGATAAATTAATATTCTTATATGACGATTTTGCTACGGTTTCAAACTTTGTTATATCTATTCTTAGTTGGCTAACACAGCGTTTAAAATCAATAATATTCCAAAGAAATATATGAGGCTGGTGATAGTTGCTATTTCAAAATTATCAATAATTTTTTGACCTAAATTTTATAAAATGTGACATATTTTTAGTTAAAAAAACTATAATATGTCAGATATAATACTTAAAGAATTGACTTGGATTTGGATTGGAACAACAGGTATTATAATCAATTTTCAACATGTCCTCCATAAACCCCCAAACACGTCGTATATATAGATTTCATTTTATTTATAGCATCACTAACCATTTTAGATCCGTTGATATTAAGTATTTCCTGTGTTATTTGCTCTTTGTTCTCCCTATTTCAGTCCGATTTTGATAAAATTTATATTTTAGGTTTCCCCATAGAAAGAAATCTAAATCAGAGCTAACAGCTGTCCAAGGTATTGTTCCGGGTCGAACTATCCAAGTTGTAAATGGGTTGTTCAGCCAGTTAATAACAGATCGTGACGTATGATAAGGAGCACTATCTTGTTGAAAGATTTGATCATGTTTAACTTGTTCCAGTAGAGCGTCAATAAGCGGATATTTCTGCGTAGCTAATAGGTTAAAATACCGATCACCATTAAGTTAGCCTTCATAAAAAATAGATATTATACCACACTAACTTCTGTAACCCTGCTTCTGAATAATTTTAACACGGTGTTTGTTACTAGTAGATCTATTAATAATGCCGGTCGTATTAAAAAAACTTTCATCAGTCCATAATGCTGTTTCAAATATGGATTCAAAGTAACGGTCCATCATTAGAGCGCAAAATGTTGCTCTTGCATCCTTATCTTCAGCTGTTAATAACTGAACAGGGAGGAATTTTAATGGAAAATAATTTGACTGAGTTCTCGGGTTCGTTCTGGTGTTTTTTTTATGGCTGAAGTATTTCGTAGGTTACGCACTATTCTACTAAAAATTTGTTTAGTGGGTAATCTGCTTGCTGCATATAATTGCCGGTACTCCCGAAGATCCAAAGCTGGATTTTCATTATTGGGAATAAAGCACTCATATAACTGGAAACGCACTTCAACAGTGTATGGAGCCATATTTTTGACAGTAATAAAATAAAAACGATGAATTTACATTTTACCGAGAGCCTGTGACATTTTCAGCTTTTTTGTTTATCATGTTCTTCTTTCTTGACTTTTTATTCATTGTCAAGTATAACACAGCACGAAACCCGCAGTAAAATCGTCATATAAGAATATTAATTTGACAATCGTTCGAAAGCTAAACATTTTCAGCATAGACAACCTTATCTTATCCAAACTTATTTTTATTTTTAATGGTAAATAAGATAAAATTATAAAATTTGGGGGTTTTGGAAGTTTTCTTAATTTAGTATTTATTGTTATTTTTTGAACACCCTGTATTATTAGTCATGAAAGGATTATAGAAGTTCTCTTAAACCCAAATTAAAAAATAACGATTTCTTTTTAGAAAAAAATTCTTGTTAGTCCTAGGGCCTGCAAATGACATATTTGAGATAAAAATGTAGACATAGGAAGACATTGGTATAGAGCATTATATATGAAATTTTCCTAGAAACTTGGGTAGAATCCAAAAATGTAATAATATGCAGGATATTCCATTAAAAAGTTGTGTTTACCCAAACAACATGTTCTTGTATATATTCAATGCTCCTGGGACATATGGACAAGTCAGCAGTGGCGGAGCATACGCATCATGTTTGAAGACACTCAGGTACTGGACAGGGCAACACATTTTTATCGACGACTTTTCAGAGAAGCCATTGAAATTCAGAAACATCAAAGTACGGAAGATCACTTCGACCGTTACCGCATCGCCGCTCTTGAAAATGTCTGCCGCAGTTGTAGACGAAACGTCGAGTGTAATCTCGGGGCCACGGCTCAAAAGCCCGGAAATACTTAGTAGTGTAGTTTGTGGCCATGAAAGCCTAACATCTTTGATACACTGATCTGTTTTTAAAACCCACCTGGTGGCGATCTCTGTGTATAATTATCTTGAGAGTCATAAGCTCTTAGCAGTGTATATTTCGGTGATTTTGGAATTTTTCAATTTTGAGGCACCTCTCATATCTCCGATATTCTATGAAATATCGGAAAGGTGAAAAGGGCATCCGATGTTATATGTCCTATATGTTATTCAAAAAGATAAACCGAAACGTCAACCTAGATATTAAAACAATTATTTAAAGTGATAAGGAACATAAAAATTTTTAGCATTTTTTGCAAATCTGAACAAAATTCTTTTAATTAATAAAGCTACGTTTTAGTTTCAGTGTGGCCTGTTTACTAGGCACCGAAATCGTATATCGTATTTTTGGAGATAATTTGATTGGTGTAGGTTGTGCGTTAGAGAAAATGGTTGACATTTTCAACAGTTTTTTTGGCTTTTTAAATTAAAACAATAGCAAAAAATGTTAATATTTAATGTTTTTTATGTTTATCTTTGGCGGATCTGGACGGCTGTGAACCTTCAATCGGGGCCCGTACTACATTTTAGAGGGCGGGCCTAAGGATCCCCGAGATGACCTTCTTTGACAAATGGACCTTTCTGTTCCCATCAGTTGAAAAGTGGAGAGAGGGCAGAGTCGGCTTCTGGGATGGACTTATCTGGTACACGGACGGGTCCAGAATTGGAGATCAGCCGGAGCTGGAGCGTACTGGGAGAGAATGGGATCGAGCTTGGGTTTGGGTCAGTACTGCACTGTGTTTCAGGCGGATATTTTCGCTTTATTGATGGCGGCCAGAGAGTTGCTTCGGCTCAACCACGGAAGCAGGAGGGTCTTCTTCTGCTCGGATAGGAGGGCTGCACTTATGGAGCTGAAGGCAGTGCGCACGCACTCCTTGTTGATAAAGGAGTGCAAAGGGGTACTGAAGAGAGTGGCCGAGGAGAGGAATGTCACGTTGCTCTGGGTCGCGAGAGTCACACCGGTTTCCGAGGCAATGAGGCAGCGGACGGTATTGGGCTACAATAGTTGTTGACCTTCTATAGGAGGGGGAGGGTGACGCAGGGCGCCCCACTTTAGTACCAATACCAATACCCCTTCCTTTCCAACGGGTTTGCTAAATCATAATATAAGTCTGGTAGAAAAAATTCCTTCTTGAGAGAAGTGTACTACGCATCCATCGTGTTGCAGTCACGCATCTCCTCTCGTAGAGGGACTTTTTTTTTATAAAATCGGCAAGTAGTTAAATCGATCACCCAAAATACCACTCTCGACGTTCACATTCGACCTCTTTTGATAATTCGGTTATAGCAAACAGCTGCCTCAAGTCCCTCACGAGAATGGAGACTACCTCGTTCAGAGACGTAGAATATTTTTAATTATAGCGAACAGCTGCCTCAAGTCCCTCACGAGAGTAGAGACTATCTCGTTCAGAGGCGTAGAATATTTATAATTATAGCAAACAGCTGCCTCAAGTCCCTCACCAGAGTGGAGACAATCTCGCTCAGAGACGTAGAATATTTATAATTATAGCGAACAGCCGCCTTAAGATTGTCCCGAGAGTGGATACTATTTCGTTCAGAGGCGTAGAATATTTATAATTACAGCGAACAGCTGCCTCAAGTCCCTCACGAGAGTGGAGACGTATTTCGTTCAGAGACGTAGAGTATTTATAATTATAGAAAACGGCTGCCTCAAGTTAGTCACGAGAGTGGAGCTTATCTCGTTCAGAGATGTAGAATATTTGTAATTATAGCGAACAGGCGCCTCAAGTTTTTTTTCTATCCGACGAATCGTTAAATTCTTTTAAAAAATTCTTTGACCTCGTACTAGTACGGAGGAAAACTTAAAGCCAGTACTTCCTATCTTTCGGATGTTATAGCCTCCAAAAGCCCCCGCGGGTCCGTTACAGAGAAACAGACAACAGAGGACAGAAAAAAAGGTATTCTTTATCGACGCTAAATCCTTTGGTACCAACGGCCACCAAGTACGACGAAATGTTACCAAGATCTCGAATTTAGCGAGGAGCGCAATTACTTTCGTGAAACACGATTTCATCGGTTTCTCGAATGTAACAAGTGTGGTCGACATATCGTAGCTCTATAGAAGTGTATCAACAACTTATGGACTGTGAAGCTTCCTAGCGCCCGGCAGGTAGACCACTTTCGTGACACTATGGTTAACCCCAAAAAGTCACAGCATGCAGGATCACGTCGTCGTTTATAGAAATGTTTAATTGGTCCCTATATATTTATTTATTACGTATTTATTTAATGAATATATTGTTGTAAACTATACGTTTTTGTTTTACTTACGACTTATTTTTGTTATGAATTGTTCGGATAATTCACACAAAATTATCCGAGAACCTTAGTACAGCCAATAGCAGACGAATTACGAGGTCTGTCAATTAGATTCCCGGAAAAGTGGCAACACTGCGACTCTCGTTATGCCACGGCGTTCGCGTTGTGTCATTCGCTGCCATGGAGAATCTGATGTCTAAACAGACGCCTTAACCGACAGACCAACGCTAAATCTGTTTGAATGTCGAACTATTTCTGGTGATCTGCCATTTGAAAGATAATGGCATTATATTGTTATAAATTTATGCACTCAATCCCCATAATTGACAAAATTTTCATGGCTGAGCTGCTAATTACAAAAATTATATTTCAAGCAAAACAAATTTTCGTTTGCAGTAGGTAGGTTTCGAATCTACGCTGCCATGGAGAATCTGATTTCTAGTCAGAGGCCTTAACCGACAGACCAAGGCTAAATCTGTTTGAAAGTAGAACTATTTCTGGTAATGTGCCATTTGAAATATAAGGGCATTATATTGTTTTAAATATATGCACCCAATCCCCATAATTGACAAAATTTCAAGCAAAACAAAACAATGGCCGTTTGCAGTAGGTAGGTTTCGAACCTACGATGCCATGGAAAATCTGATTTCTAGTCAGACGCCTTGACCGACAGACCAGGGCTGAATCTGTTTGAAAGTCGAACTATTTCTGGTGATGTGCCATTTGAAATATAAGGGCATTATATTGTTATAAATTTATGCACTCAATCCCCATAATTGACAAAATTTTCTTGGCTGAGCTGCTAATTACAAAAATTATATTTCAGGCAAAACAATGGTCGTTTGCAGCAAGTAGATTTCGAACCTACGCTGCCATGGAGAATCTGATTTCTAGTCAGACGCCTTAACCGACAGACCAAGGCTAAATCTGTTTGAAAGTCGAAATATTTCTGCACAAAAATTTGTGCACTCAACCCCATATTTGAGAAAAATTTCTGAGCTGAGCTCTTAATTAAAAAATATATATTTTAAGCAAAACAATGGCCGTTTGCAGTAGGTAGGTTTCGAACTTACGCTGCCATAGAGAATCTGATTTCAAGTCAGACGCTTTAACCGACAGACCACGCTTAATCTGTTTGAAAGTCGAACTATTTCTGGTGATGTGCCATGCGTTGAAATATAAGTCCATTATATTTTTATAAATTTATGTACTCAATCCCCATATTTGAAAAAAATTTCTGGGCTGAGCTGTTAATTAAAAAATATATATTTCAAGCAAAACAATGGCCGTTTGCAGTAGGTAGGTTTCGAACCTACGCTGCCATAGAGAATCTGATTTCTAGTCAGACGCCTAAACCGACAGACCAAGGCCCAATCTGTTTGAAAGGAGAACTATTTCTGGTGATGTGCCATGCGTTGAAATATAAGGCCATTATAGTTTTTTAAATTTATGTAGTCAATCCCCATATTTGAGAAAATTTTCTTGGCTGAGCTGCTAATTACCAAAAATATATTTCAAGCAAAAAAATGGTAGTTTGCAGTGGCGAACCTATGCTGATAGAGAATCTGATTTCTAGTCAGACGCCTTAACCGACAGACCAAGTCTAAATCTGTTTGAAAGTCGAACTATTTCTGGTGATGTTCCATGCATTGAAATATAAGGCTATTATATTTTTTTAAATTTATGTAGTCAATGCCGATATTTGAGAAAAATTTCTGGGCTGAGCTGTTAAATTAAAAATATATATTTCAAGCAAAACAATGGCCGTTTGCAGTAGGTAGGTTTCGAACCTACGCTGCCATGGAGAATCTGATGTCTAAACAGACGCCTTTACCGACAGACCAAAGTTAAATCTGTTTGAAAGTCGCTGAGCTGCTAATTACAAAAATTATATTTCAAGCAAAACAATGGTCGTTTGCAGAAGGTATTTTTCGAACCTACGCTGCCATAGAGAATTTGATTTTTAGTCAGACGCCTTAACCGACAGACCAGGGCTAAATCTGTTTGAAAGTAGAACTATTTCTAGTGATGTGCCATTTGAAATATAAGGGCATTATATTAATTTAAATTTATGAACTCAATACCCATAATTGACAAAATTTTCTGGGATAAGCTGCTATTTACGAAAATTATATTTCAAGCAAAACAATGGTCCTTTGCAGTAGGTAGGTTTCGAACCTATGCTGATAGAGAATCTGATTTCTAGTCAGACGCCTTAACCGACAGACCAAGGCTAAATCTGTTTGAAAGTCGAACTATTTCTGGTGATGTGCCATGCGTTGAAATATAAGGGCATTTTATTGTTATAAATTTATGCACTCAGTCCCCATAATTCACCACATTTTTTGGACTGAGCTGCTAATTACAAAAATTATATTTCTAGCAAAACAAATTTTCGTTTGCAGTAGGTAGGTTTCGAATCTACGCTGCCATGGAGAATCTGATTTTTAGTCAGACGCCTTAACCGACAGACCAGGGCTAAATCTGTTTGAAAATAGAACTATTTCTGGTGATGTGCCATTTGAAATATAAGGGCATTATATTGTTTTAAATATATGCACCCAATCCCCATAATTGACAAAATTTCAAGCAAAACAAAACAATGGCCGTTTGCAGTAGGTAGGTTTCGAACCTACGATGCCATGGAAAATCTGATTTCTAGTCAGACGCCTTGACCGACAGACCAGGGCTGAATCTGTTTGAAAGTCGAACTATTTCTGGTGATGTGCCATTTGAAATATAAGGGCATTATATTGTTATAAATTTATGCACTCAATCCCCATAATTGACAAAATTTTCTTGGCTGAGCTGCTAATTACAAAAATTATATTTCAGGCAAAACAATGGTCGTTTGCAGCAAGTAGATTTCGAACCTACGCTGCCATGGAGAATCTGATTTCTAGTCAGACGCCTTAACCGACAGACCAAGGCTAAATCTGTTTGAAAGTCGAAATATTTCTGCACAAAAATTTGTGCACTCAACCCCATATTTGAGAAAAATTTCTGAGCTGAGCTCTTAATTAAAAAATATATATTTTAAGCAAAACAATGGCCGTTTGCAGTAGGTAGGTTTCGAACTTACGCTGCCATAGAGAATCTGATTTCAAGTCAGACGCTTTAACCGACAGACCACGCTTAATCTGTTTGAAAGTCGAACTATTTCTGGTGATGTGCCATGCGTTGAAATATAAGTCCATTATATTTTTATAAATTTATGTACTCAATCCCCATATTTGAAAAAAATTTCTGGGCTGAGCTGTTAATTAAAAAATATATATTTCAAGCAAAACAATGGCCGTTTGCAGTAGGTAGGTTTCGAACCTACGCTGCCATAGAGAATCTGATTTCTAGTCAGACGCCTAAACCGACAGACCAAGGCCCAATCTGTTTGAAAGGAGAACTATTTCTGGTGATGTGCCATGCGTTGAAATATAAGGCCATTATAGTTTTTTAAATTTATGTAGTCAATCCCCATATTTGAGAAAATTTTCTTGGCTGAGCTGCTAATTACCAAAAATATATTTCAAGCAAAAAAATGGTAGTTTGCAGTGGCGAACCTATGCTGATAGAGAATCTGATTTCTAGTCAGACGCCTTAACCGACAGACCAAGTCTAAATCTGTTTGAAAGTCGAACTATTTCTGGTGATGTTCCATGCATTGAAATATAAGGCTATTATATTTTTTTAAATTTATGTAGTCAATGCCGATATTTGAGAAAAATTTCTGGGCTGAGCTGTTAAATTAAAAATATATATTTCAAGCAAAACAATGGCCGTTTGCAGTAGGTAGGTTTCGAACCTACGCTGCCATGGAGAATCTGATGTCTAAACAGACGCCTTTACCGACAGACCAAAGTTAAATCTGTTTGAAAGTCGCTGAGCTGCTAATTACAAAAATTTTATTTCAAGCAAAACAATGGTCGTTTGCAGAAGGTATTTTTCGAACCTACGCTGCCATAGAGAATTTGATTTTTAGTCAGACGCCTTAACCGACAGACCAGGGCTAAATCTGTTTGAAAGTAGAACTATTTCTAGTGATGTGCCATTTGAAATATAAGGGCATTATATTAATTTAAATTTATGAACTCAATACCCATAATTGACAAAATTTTCTGGGATAAGCTGCTATTTACGAAAATTATATTTCAAGCAAAACAATGGTCCTTTGCAGTAGGTAGGTTTCGAACCTATGCTGATAGAGAATCTGATTTCTAGTCAGACGCCTTAACCGACAGACCAAGGCTAAATCTGTTTGAAAGTCGAACTATTTCTGGTGATGTGCCATGCGTTGAAATATAAGGGCATTTTATTGTTATAAATTTATGCACTCAGTCCCCATAATTCACCACATTTTTTGGACTGAGCTGCTAATTACAAAAATTATATTTCTAGCAAAACAAATTTTCGTTTGCAGTAGGTAGGTTTCGAATCTACGCTGCCATGGAGAATCTGATTTTTAGTCAGACGCCTTAACCGACAGACCAGGGCTAAATCTGTTTGAAAATAGAACTATTTCTGGTGATGTGCCATTTGAAATATAAGGGCATTATGTTGTTTTAAATATATGCACTCAATCCCCATAATTGACAAAATTTCAAGCAAAACAAATGGTCGTTTGCAGTAGGTAGGTTTCGCACCTACGCTGCCATGGAGAATCTGATTTATTTCTAGTCAGACGCCTTGACCGACAGACCAGGGCTAAATCTGTTTGAAAGTCGAACTATTTCTAGTGATGTGCCATATGAGGGCATTATATTTTTTTAAATTAATGTAGTCAATCCCCATATTTGAGAAAAAATTCTGGGCTGAGCTGTTAATTAAAAAATATATATTTCAAGCAAAACAATGGCCGTTTGCAGTAGGTAGGTTTCGAACCTACGCTGCCATGGAGAATCTGATTTCTAGACAGACGCCTTAACCGACAGACCAAGGCTAAATCTGTTTGAAAGTAGAACTATTTCTGATGATGTGCCATATGAAATATAAGGGCATTA